CTTCCAAGATTGAACTCAGGGACACTTAACTACAGCCACAACCGCAGCCCTATTTTGTACTTTATTTAGAGACAGTGTCTCACAAAGTTGCTTAGCACCTCACGTTTGCTGAGGCTAGCTTTGAACCTGCAATCCTCCTGACCCAACCTCCAGAGCCACTGGGATTATAGGCATGCACCACCAAGCCTGACCCAAGGTTTTTCTTGATCTTATACTGTAATACTGAAAATCTTGGTCACTAACTACATCAATGTAATTATTTTCCCTAAGGTAYACCTATTTTAGTTTCAAAAAATATCAATACCAGCATAACTCTTAACACGGCCACTAAATGGAATTTAAGATTTTTTACAGTGCTTTTTATTTTTAAACTATCTCTAAAGATTTGCAGTGAGAATAGTTTTATTTAATTGTTTTTGTAGTAATGGGGATTGAACGAAGGGGAGCTGAGCTATATCCCCAGTTTTTTTTTTTTTTTTTTTTTTTTGAGGTAGGGTCTCACTAAATTGCTGAGGCTGGCCTCAATCTTGTGATCCTCCTGCCTCAGCATCCCAAGTTCCTATGATTACAGGCCTATGCCACCACCCCGGCCACCCCCCCTTCAACCCTTGCTGTTCCCTGTACATTTTGTATGTCTTTTGGTCCTTATTTACACATTATTTTTGAGATTTATTATTACTAATATATTTTACTTCCTCTCAAAAGGTTTTTGATAGTTAAATTAAGTTGTAAATTTAGTCATTATAATCAGCTCTAAATTTAGATTTGCAATAACTTGAACATTTCTAGTTTAATTAAAGTAGTTTTAATGCTTTAAGTCTTCTTTAAAAATATGAATCTCCTTCGGCTTTATTTTTCAGTTCGTAGAAATTATTTTCATATAATTTTATTTAAGAAAGGCATTTAAATTATCTGGATCCTTGCAAATGAGAATTTTTCTGTAGCTTTTACCCACGAAGGACAATTCAAATTCTTGAATCACAGTCTTCTAAAACTTGTTTTCTGGCACTTACAGTAGAACAGAGAGATCTGCAACTAGCTTGCTTTTTGCTTTTTTATTTTGAAAAACTTTTTTTTTCTTCTGTAAGCCTATTAGAATTTGTATTCTATCCAAAAACTATGCCAGAATCTGTTTAGGTCTGAACATTTTTGTTGGGCTGCATTTTGATGCTGGTTTGTTGCTATAACAAAAACCCTAATAATGGTGACTTCAACAAGATAAAAATTTCTCTCTAGACTACCAATTTGAGTCTGGGCAGTGCAGCAATGACGTGGCAGCTTCTCAGTGTCAGGAGCCATCCTGGACACTTGGCTTCTGTTTTGTGGATTGCAATGGCTGTTCTAGCTTCTCCAAGGCTCCCAACTCCAGGTCCACATCCCTTCCAGCAGGAAGTGAGAAGGTGTAAGCACCTCCCTTCCCTTCACCGTTGAGTTGGAAAAGGTACATTTCTGTTTTTTCACAGTGGTTTCAGACCTGGTGGCACTGAAGGTTTCTTTTTCCTGTTCTGCTTAATTTCTAATCTTTGCCAATTTCTCTTGCTTTTTGGTGTTCAGATGTTTGGTGTTTCGAGTCTGTATTTGGTGCTATGAAGCTTTCATTTTTTTTCTTGATATTCAGTGAGAAATGTGAAAAGGAACATTGCTAACAAGATTTGGAGGTTCCCTATACTAGAATCAAAGACTATCATGTTCCAACATTTTACAAGAAGAATGGTCTCTAAGAGGCTGTGTTGTGCACAAGATTATACAGTTGGGGGGCTGGGGATGTGGCTCAAGCGGTAGCGCGCTCGCCTGGCATGTGTGCGGCCCGGGTTCGATCCTCAGCACCACATACAAATATGTTGTGTCCACCGAAAACTAAAAAATAAATATTAAAAAAAATTCTCTCTCTTTCTCTTTCTTTAAAAAAAAAAACAAACGATTATACAGTTGGTTTAAAGGCAAGGAAAGAAGAAAACTTCCACGCCTGGGCTTTCTGTTGTGTTCCTGATGAGACAGGGAAGCTGCTACGAGGGTGGTTTGTCAGGCCCAGATGCCCACCTGAAGTCCACCTGAAGCCCAGAGCTCTGCCTGGTATCTTCTTCCACAGCCTCTGGCTGTTTCTGGGGTGAGGTCTCCCAGGCACGCCCCCTTTCTAAACTGTGGTTTCTGAAGGCCTAGGATGCAGGGGCAGAGTCCCTATTATACAACTGAAGCAAGTCCAGAGCCAAGGGAGGATGGAGAAACTGAGAGCAAGGAGGAGGTCACAGGTGTGTTCAAACTGGAGGAGAGCTTTCTAGGAATGGTATTCCAGATGTTGTGTATAGTGACTGTAGAACAGCRGATTTCAGGTCAGTGGAAAGAAGAGAATGGGCTGGGCCAAGACAGAACTGCTGACCTTAGGAGCTGTGCTCTTTTCTCTGGATAGGGTGGTCAGTTGTTGGAGAGATTTTAGAGGCCTTTATGCCCTATAAGGAAGATGGGCTGAATGGCCTCTAAGGTTCTTGTACTGCTATTCGGGGAATCCAGAATCGAGAACAGGATTTACTGAGTTCACAGAGGGTTCTGTAAGTAGTCTTGGAACCGCATAGTTAGTAGTGGAGATTATTAAAATTCATATTGAGGGCTGGGGATGTGGCTCAAGCGGTAGCACGCTCGCCTGGCATGCGTGCGGCCCGGGTTCGATCCTCAGCACCACATACAAACAAAGATGTTGTGTCCACCAAATACTAAAAAAAAAAAAAAAAAAA